TAATCCCTTAATTCTTTTTATATATTAAGACTTTAAGGTTATTAATCTCTCGTCTAATCTATCCTTTATTATACTTAAAGAGTATTCTTAAAAGATTTTATATTTAATAAGGTTAATTTTTATATTTCTAAGGTAACTAAAGGCTATTAACCTTTTTAGGGTCTATATAATTACCTTTAATACCGCAATTTGTTAATGCGGTAAGCTATTTACCTTTAATTTATACTTTTAATATAAGGCTTTATTTAATTATATTATTTATAATATATAAAGCTCTTTTAAGAGATTAATTAATCGCCTTAGGCTCTTTACTCGCCTATAGCTCTTCTATAGGTAATATTTAGAGTTTTTTAATAATATATTATCTTTATCTTTACTTTATTTTACTAATTCTTATAAGATTTATAATATAATTTCTTATATTTATAGGTCTTTATTACTTTATTACGCATAGAATATAATAATTTTATTATATATATATTTAATATATAATAATAATAAGTATTCTTTAATTACTTAAGGGTATATATTATACTATTCTTTAGGTTTATATATATATTATAATAAAATAATATAATATATTATTCTCCTAATATATAAATAGGGTTCTATATTAAAAGCCTAATAAGAATTTTAGACTAATTTATTATATATATACTAGAGAAAAGTATTATATTATTATTTTTCTTTAAGATATTCTTTATAATTATAATAAATATAATTAATCTATAATATCTTATAATAATTAAGGTAACTTAGTTATACTTATCTATAGTTATTATTTATAAAAAGGGGTATTTATTATATTTCTATTATTTCTTATTTCTTTTTTACTAAAATTATTAAAAACTTAGATATAAAAGTAAGGTTTTTATAGATCTTAATATACTAATTTAAGGTTTACTAAATATATCCTTTATTTAATAATTTATTACTAAGAACTTAAGTAATCTCTTTATTATACTTTAAATATTCTTAAATAAGAACTTATTTAAGGTTAATTAATTTAATATTTTCTTATAATATCTAATTAAGGGATATAAAGAATATCTAATTATATATATTTTATTATATAAATTACTACGCGGGGTAATTCTATTAATAAGTATATTATATAAGAAGTTAATCTAATAGCTATTAAGCTTATTTAATAGGTTCTTTTTCTTAGATTAAGGGTTAATATTATTTTTCTTATTAGGCTATTATTTAGGGTTCTAAGTTATTAATATAAAATATAATATCTTTATTATCCTTAAGGTAAAGATCTATAAGTATATCTATTTTAATTATTCCTTTAATATATCTTATTATAATAATAATTTATTTACTTTTATTATTTTATAATAAGTTATAGGATAATATAGGGGTAAATCTATTCTTATTATCTTATTAAGTAATTCTATTAACTTATTAGTCCTAGTAGGGTCTTTATTTTCTTTTAGCTATAATAAGAGATAAATAATTATTTTTATAATATCTTTTCTTTCTATAATTATAATAAGTAATTTAAGATTTATCTTATTAGATATTCCTAATATCTATAGGTCTTAGTTAGGTATTATATAAGGTATTTCCTTTATTTTTATTATTATTATTCCTTTATCCCTAATTCTATTTATTATTTTTATTAAGGTAATAAAAGTTAAATTAAGAAGCGCGGCCTTTATTCCTCTAAGCTATTCTCTCTTAATATTATTTATATTATTATTTATTAATCTTAATAGCTATCTTAATATATTAATTAAGGTTATTAAGTTTATTTATTTTATAAAGTTTATCTTTAATTTTTTCCTTTAGTCCTTAATAATAAATCTCTATAAAGGCTTTATTATCTTATTTAACCTTAAATATAAGTTATTAAAAAGTTATAAAATAAATAATATATAACTTATTTTAAGTTAGGCTATAAAATTTAATAATAATTTATTTTTCTTTATTAATTATTCTAAAGGCTTCTTTAATAATTACCTCGAAATTACTTTAATTAATAAAAATATTAATAATTTCTTAGTCTTAATTAGATTTATCTTTATTTTCTAAGAAGTCCCTCTAGATAGATTTAAATTATACTTTAGCGATTCTATAAAGAAGAGATATAATAAAAAATACCTTCTTTATACTAGTATTAATATATTAGGGAAAAAGCCTAAAATATCCCTTTATTTTAATAAAGAAAGATATAATATTATAGGCCTATCCTATAAATAATTTAAGTATTATAGGTCTAATAATTTCTCTTAGATCTTTATTATAATATTATTAGGTAAATATTATAGGTTAACTCTATACCTAACCCTAGAATTAATTAATTATACCTCTAAGCTATTATATTTTAGTTATAAGTTTAGCGATATTTAGTAGCGTCCTATTATAAGGTAATAGTCCTCTAGTGGAAAATCTAGTAAATAAGGTATTCTATTTATTAAAAAATATATTATTTAATAATAGAGGTATTATATAATATAACGCGGAAATATACTAAATAAGAAGCTATTAATATATAATATTTAGTATTTTCTAAGGGAATAAACTAGGCATACTAGGTTTATTATTAATAGAGAGTCTTAGCGTTATTTATATAATAGGGCGGTTATATCTTAGTAATAAATTAAGAAGGTCTTAAAGGTAATTAAAATCTATTAATAGCTTAAGGGCTAAATATCTATCTAAGGTATAATAAATAATATATATATATAAGGGGCCTTATACTTATAGAAGTAAGGTCTAAGTAAAGGCCTTATACTTATAGAAGTAAGGTCTAAGTAAGGGCCTTATACTTATAGAAGTCAGGTCTCTTCTAGTTAGTGCGTTTTAGAAGGGAAAATATAGGGAATAAAAATAATATATGATAGGGGATATATTAGGCTATAATATTAAAGGTTTCTTTTAAAGACTCTTTAATTAGGGAAAAATTAAGAGAAAATAGCTCTCTTAAAAAGTCTTTTTCCCTATTAAAGTTAGCTATATATCTTATTAATCTTAGCCTTTAAAGCTAAGGATTAAGAGTAATAAAGTTATTAAGCTACTCTATAGCCTTAGCCTCCTTACTTCTAATAGCTAGGGCTTAGGCCTTAAAGATAGCCTTAGCCTCTATAAAAAAGAGAGCTTTAGAGCTATTGCCTTTTAATAAGACCTTAAAGTATTTACTATAAGGCCCTTACTTAAAGAGCTATTAATAGGCTATGCTAGCTCGCTAATAGCTTTTAATAGCTATAAAAGGCGGCGAGGCTATTACCTTAGAAGGCCAGCTATCTTAGCCCTTTTGCTAAACCTTATAAAAGACCTATAGGTACTCTCTAATTCGCTATAGCCTAGAGCTAATATAGAAGTAATTAGGTTTAAAAATATAGCGAAAGCCCTATTATATAGGCTCTCTAAGTTATAAGATAGGAGGGCCTAGAGGAATAGGCTTAGGTAGCCTTATAAGGTCTTTTTAGCCCTAAAGAAGATTAAGCTTAATAGCTTACTCTAGGGTAGGCTTAATCTTATAGAGGGAAAGCTAATAAGGCTATTAGCAGAGATATTACTAAATTTAGTTAAAAAGAATTATAATTTTATAAGTCTTATAAATTAGAAGAGAAAAAGTAAGGATATAAGTAAAATAATTTATAATTATAAGGCTTATAGGTACTTAGAATATAGATAGAGATAGAGGTTAAAAATAAGTAATTAAGAAAAGTTAGAGTCTTTATAAAAGAGTAAATAAAAAAGGAAGAATAGAGGTTAAAGCTTATTAGCTAAGGAATTACCTTAGTTATAGCTAGCGAGGTAGTTAATATGGCTAGGTAGCTAGGTAATAGCGGTAGTTAGGGAATTTTAGCGTAGCGCTAGCTATATTGATTACCTTATTAAAATTGCTCTTAATTTTCTTTATAAATTAATAATTAATTCTAGAAAAATCTTATTAAGAAAAGGACTTTATTTTTAAAATTCTTATAGCTTAAAGTTATATATATCTTATTTTCTTAACCCTAACCCTATTAGAACCTTATTTTCTAGAAACTATTAGCTAGTCGAGAAAAAAACTATTAGCTGCCCTATAGTCTGCTAGCGTAAAAAAATTCTCCCATAGAAAAAAACTATCGGTAGCTTAGCCGACGGTTTTCATAGGTGATAGGGAGATCAACCAGTTCAGCGAGAGACATAGTGGCTTGAGGGACCAAGAGAAGGGATTTTCCGAAACGAACGGGTAGACTCTAGCAGCGAAATTTCTTAGGCAGGGTTTCATCGATATTCTCGTATAAGATTCTTTAGCGACATTTCCTTCAAGAGGGTTTTACGAAAATTTAGAACAGACCCGGTTGGCGATAATTCGTTAGACAAGACTATCCGAAAGCTTAGAGCAGACCCTATCAACGATAATTCGCTAAATAGGGTTATCCGAAAACCTCGAGTAGACTCTGCCAGCGAAAATTCGCTAGGGATATTTACTCGAATATCTCGGACAAACCCCACCATCAAGTCTTCCTAGATCGGGATTCATCGTCTTTCTCGAGTAAACTTCGTCGGCGACATTTCCTAGTTAATAATTATTCGACGATTTCGGCTAACCACTAAATTAGCTGCCTAGTTTAGGTCCCTAAGCTTAGGGTCCTTAAAATAGGCCTACTACTAAGAATATAGGCTAGTAATCTCTACCCATTTTTTACTATCTAATAATAGATGACTACGATTTTAGATACTAGCCATATCTTATCGTAATCTTATTGGCCTATAGCGAACGATTATGGCTTTTCGCGATACGCTTGCTCCGTGCTTCTGTTTCGACCTGATGGACCCCACAGGACGACGATCAAGCTTATTAAGTTGCTTATGCAACAGAGGCGGCAGGGACAGGAAAGAGACAGAAAGCTACATAGTAGTCAAAACGTAGTAAATTCTCAAACCTCTCGCTACTAGATCAATCTCGAGGAGGGTAAAGGAATAGAGAAGTAGACTTGGCCCCTCCAAAGATTCGGAAAACACACCCACTCGCCAGTATATTCCTCAGCCTTCCCCGTCTAGGCCGGCTCGGTCGTGTACGGCTCAGCGTCTAACGGCTTCTGCGCCCAAACCGTCTTAAGAAAGGCATACGGGTGGATTTTTAGGTTTCGCAGCTCGCCTCTGAGACGAGCAAGGTAGACTTGGATCTCCTCGGGCGTCCACCCCAGAAAGGTGGCGACAAAGTTTATAAAGCCTTCAGGGTCTTGGGTGCCATAGACTTGGCCGAAGCGGCCTATTTCTTTCAGCTTGGGGTCTTTGGGCCAAGGGCTCATGGGACACTTGGGATACTGTTAGCATATCCTGGCTAAATACCAAACGGTCATAAGATAGCTGAACTTACTTTGCCATTCCACTCCTTGATGTTGGCAAATCTAGCCTCCTCCATAGCCGGCCTTTGGACTTAATTAGTAACCACAGTAAAGCTATTTCCCATCTTCTTTGAAGCTTCGATAAAAATTTTATCCCACTGGGCCAGGGCAGAATCCGGCGCAACGGTATTATCGTCGCTCACCATAGTTGGCGAGACTTCGAAACTCTCGATCTAACCACCTGGCTTAAGGACCCGATATGCCTATTTGAATAGTGCTATCTAGTCAGGGATGCATCCGATTAGGTAGCGGAAATGCACGTAGTCAAAAGACTCTGCGTCAAATGTCCACTCTTAGTTATAATCTTCGATCTCGCTAATAATAAGATTAAAAAACGAAGCAATTAATTGGTGGGGGGGTATAGTATCCTACAATTTGCAGTTAGGCGGGACCCAGCCTGGCTGAATAGGGGAGATATCGGTGCCGATAACTTCGCACTAGGGGTACTCGTCGGCGAAATCGCTAATTCGCAAGTCATCAGGACAGAATCGTTCGTTGAACAGCAGCCAAACTCACATAGCCCATATACCTGCAAAGATATTAGGATCACAGCGATTAGGCACGTCATGAGATATCTACACTTGCCGGTTCTAGTTCTAATATCAAGAGCTTTCTAATATATGACGACACGGTCAGAAACAGACCTGGGTGTTAGCTGAAGATATATGGACGTACTTACATATCATCCTTCAAAGGAGCCAAGTGAAGTGCTCCATCTTAGGACAGGGTCCACATGTGGTGGCTAAAAAATCGTCAGGGCCGGGCACGATTTAATAGTCAAACTTGAAGGCAAAAAGTCCTCAACTTACCTAATATCCATAGCTTCACTTTGACGTTCATCATTGGCGCCCCTGGCGGAATGGTCAGATAGCAGGGCTCACTTCAAGGGCAAGACTAGCGCCTACCAGTATGCAGCGTTTCCTTTCTCGCTGTGGTACGTTCTGCCGTTGATGGTGCGGTAATTAAGAATGCTCGAGCTCAGGGAAGCGGTAGAGCTCTCAGCGTCGGATCCCAGAGTGGGATCCTCCTCGCCTACTTCCTCATCAGCCTCGATGACGCCCACTTAGACCTGCTCTGGTGATTGGTCAGCCTCTGGCGATTGAGGCGATTGAGGCGACCGAGGCGATGCGGCAGATGGGCTTTTTGGGCTACTGCCTGCCATGTTGGACTATGGTGGCGGTTGTTAATATCGTGGTGTTAGTAAAGTAAAAATAGAGAAATCAGAAGATTGAAAGAGGGGTACTGAGCCTAGGCGAGCCCCTTCTAAAGCTCAGCTCAGCTCAGAATAGCAATAGGGTAGGGGACAGGGCCTATAGGTCAGGTGTATCGGGTAAGCGAGTAGGCCCAAAAAAAACTCATTTCCTCTCCTCTTTTAAATTGATTGAGCACTATGAGGCCCGTTTCTTCTTTTTCTTGTACGCGTAACCTGCAAGATTGATTATTTAGCCGTGAAAATACTCGTAATTACGCTTCTAATGTGGTATTAAGAGCCGCTAGGTCTAAACCTTAATTGATGAATCCGGCTCTTATCGCGGTCCAGATGCTCCCCGCGAGGATCTAATTTAGCTTTATATTAAACTAACGTAGTGGCGCCACTAGGTTGGGCAGGGGGGTTACAAACACCACATGGCTCCCCAGGAACCAACTCCTAGGCCTAACTATCATCGAAGCTTGCGGCTCCTAGTTGATGGAGTCGAGTCCAGATTAAATTTATCTATATCGTTTAGAAGCAAATAAAATCCCGAGATCCTTTCGTTTCTTAAAGTGGGCTCCCATCGTTCGTCATTAGCCCACCAACTTTAACGATATAGGTTAAGATTTGAGAATAGGTGGTATCATATATTAGCCCATATTAAAGCGATTAAACGTCGCTTACGTTGATTTATCTCAGAGCAAGCTGTCACTAAGCAGGGGCACTATCCCGAGGACATAGACAACCCCCCTATTTCTAGCGTCTTATCTAGACTACTATTTCAATACCCTCACCTTAATTGTGTTATAGCAACCTCTCGATAGATCATAATATAAACGTAATTGTGACGTTGATATTAGTTTCAGATAATGGTATCGAGTCTCCTAGTATCTAGAGCCGTCGCTAATCGCTAAGACATAGAGCAATATGAGTAGAGGGGAGGTGCCTATATAGCCGGCCGGGGTGCTCCACCTTTTTCTATTAGAGGTTTTTATACCATAGCTAATAATACTAAGGCCTTATAGGTTAGTAGTCTGGGTAGTTCTCCGAGCCCGGAGCTCGGGTTAAGACCTATTACTTATTTCTATTTGTTTTTCGAAATATAGACTAGTAATCCTCTACCCGTCTTTTACTATCTAATAATAATTCTACGATTTAATAATCTTATTAGCATATGGCGAAACACTATGTAACCAACAAATCTTATCTTATCAGCAAAGAAGAGATTATGATATTATCAAAGGTCATATGATACGGCTAACGAGCTCACGTGACGGGCATATTAGCCATCGCGTTCCAGAGGTATTTATAGTACTCTACTACTAGCTTAACCCCCAAAACCTCTCAACTAACAACAGCAATAGCGCTCGAACTATGCTACCTTGCGCGTCTAGCAATCGCGTTACATAAAGTATGAATCAGGACCCTCGCCCCCTAAGCTCACTGGGCTCGCCTGATCTATCAGGTGGCCTCCCATCTTTAAGCGAACCTCAAACACCACCCGACCAAGCCACCCTTCTGACCCACCATACCCACGACGTAAAGCTTCACACAGACGCGGTCTAACTATTCGTATCGACTGAGAATTATCTCTACGATACCCGTCGTGTGGAGCTCAAAGACAACTCTTAGCAATGCAAGGGAACAATAAATGATATATCCATTCAGGGGCTTACAGAGGCTATCCGGAATCGACCTAGAGCGCCCGAATCGCATACCGATAATAAACTTGCGACGCCTTCCTTTCAAGGCTTCACGCGGCCACTCAGAACCGGAGGAAGGCATACAAATAGCTGAGCCTTAAGGATAAACTATATTAAGCTCGTTTAAGCTTACGCTTATATTTAAAACCTCAATTGAACTATCGTCTGCTCTGCGCCCTAAACAGCTCCTGCAGCGATACATCAGAAGATGACGCTACTACCTGCATTGCTCCCTGGCCTAGTTGCACCCGTCTCGCGTCAAAAAGCTCTCCGAGGGTAGCAATAAGCATCTACTTTCCATCCTTGCCTATCGTAATATCCTCCAGCGTATGAACCTTGCCAGAGTTGACCCAAATAGATACATTAGAGCAAATACTGAGGCACTGCCGTACACTATTAAACTCCCTTGCAAGACTTCGGGTCTCATTTCGTACTTCCTAGGCCGGGCTTGTATTATTCTGCTCCAGTGCAACCTCCACTATTTGGAGTCTACCCTTAGTATCTTCTTTAAGGGCTCGCAGTCGACCTAGCGTATCACTAAGTTTATCGCAACAGTCTTTCAGTATCGAGAGAGTCATAATGTGTGCACGAGTCAGGTCCTATGTCGATAGCCCTACGGATATAGTACCGCTTGCTGCTTCCCCCTTGGCCACCGGCACAAGCCGCAGCCCATTGATATGTGACAACACCTGCGAGCAAATTTCGAGACACTGTTCGGTTGTCTCCCGCTCGTTTCGAAAGCGCTCTATGTCGGCGGGTTCTTATCTAGGGGAGCTTTTACTATCCCTAGTCAGAGACTGCAACTTGACAGTGACCTCCTCGAGATGGGCCTCAAGGTCTTGCTTCGTGTCTCGGATCATGTCTTTGTATTCGTTTAGGACGTGGAGGGTTACCGTGCTTGAATGTCTGATCGCTTAGGTCAGTCAAGTAGCTGGCACAAGGAACAGGTTACCTAATAGGTTTGCATCGGCGAGAGCGATAGCGATGGTGGCCTTATAGCCAGCCAACATCGCCGTGAAACCGTTGATGTCATTGTCCATGTATCTAAGTCTTGCCCAGTCTCTGAAGCTGGTGGTTCCCTCCTCTCCAGAGTGCTTAGTGCACCTGACTATCAGCTTGCGAAAGTCTACGCAGGCCTTAGTGCACCGCTCTAGTGGAAGCTTCAGTGGGATGAGTATAGAGGGTTCATATCTGGCGGAATCTTTTAGACAATGGAGGACGCCAGCGAGAGCGTCGAGCTCGTCCCTTAGCTGCCGAACCGACCGAGGATGGTCCCTAAAACTTTAAATAGTTTAGTAAAGCACCTTGCTAGACTAGATCGTGGCGGTAACAACAGCCAAAAGACTAGAAACAACGCTAAGCGGATCCGCTATCATTAGTTATGCTCGAACTTGAGGGAATAAAGGTGTGGTCGGCCTCCCGCATGGTCGTCACTACTCACCGTGGATTAGGCTCTTATCGATGCGGGGTTAGGGAACTCCACCCTAATAGCCACCTGCTTAGTCTGTCTTAGTTAACTATGACTTGGGGTTGTCGCCCGATCATTCTCGTCGCTCAAATGGCAAGTGCCTGCATTGCCGAAACGGGGATGTTCTTATCATATCATGAATATATCATACCGTTGTCAATAAGAACCTCCATTCTAGACCTAGATTCTTTATATAGTTCTGGATGACGCGGCTAAGTACACCCATATCCACGCGACCTAGTTTATCACTGTTTGTCCGGCAGGCGATGCCCACGCCCATAATGCTCAAACCCATCCGACACAACGCCTCTATTGTTCGGTCTATGAGGAAAGGACGTTTTCCTGTCGCTTTTTCCATATGACTTGGCACTTTCTAAGTCCAGGTGTGTCAGGCCGTCGATTGTTTTCTGGTAGCTCTCATCGCTTATCTGCCCACCCAAGTAACGGGCCTGGCCGCTCAAATTAAGGCGTCTCGCAACAACGAGGTCTTTCACAGTCGAGACCGAAATGCCGTAGCTGCTATCAGCCATTGTGATGTCTTCGAAAATGTTGCATCGCTCATTGGTCAAAGTCTCGCCCGCATCAGCGACAACGCTCATGCATTGGCGAAGGCTCTCCTTGGTCTCTTGGAGCTGAGCAAGTTGGGTGGCTTCATGCTCAGATAAGGGCACTGTAGACCTCATCGATTCCATTCTTTTGTCAATGTCATTCTCATGGGTTTGGAGTTGCGATACCAGGGATTGGATAGAGCCTTTGGCGATACCTAAGCCACTCCTAATGAACTTGTGTGCTGAGGGCTGCTGTAAGAACTGCGGGTGCTCCTTCGAGGCCGATTCGAGTTGCTCAATCTGGGCTGACAGTTGTGAATAGATCTTTAACCCTTCCTAAGTACTCTGCTTCTCCTCCACCATAGCCATCCACTCAGGCGCATCTCGGACGGAACCATCAGCCTCGGAAGCAACTAAAGCCCGCACTCTTTCGTCCAATCGTGTCATGTGTTCTTGTAGATCGCTCGACGTATCGCGTATTAAGTCCTTGTATTCTTCAAGTGCGTCAGGCGTTATTAAGGAGACCATGCGTCTAGAAAACACTATCCATTAGTTAGCTGCGCAAATATAGGCCTAGAGTTTGTTCCTTACATATTTGCATTGGCCAGCGCTATGTTGATAGTGGATTTATATCCAGCAAGCATCTCCCTGAAATCCGTTATGTCTCCTTTGAGGTACTACTGGCTGATCTAATCCCGTAAGCTTGGTCGAGATGAGCCGGAATGCTTCGTGCACCGAGCAATGAGAGCGCCATACTCCTCGCAAGTCTTGCCGCAGCGAAGTAAAGGAAGCTTTAGAGCATCAAAACTGACGTTCGAATTGTTATCAACCGTATTAGCGAGTGACTCCAGAACCCCTCTAAGGTCGGATAGCTCATTTTTGAGCGCGCGGACGTTCTTATCCTGGCTCTGGAAGTCGCGGACTGTCGTATATAGAACGGTGCTGGACTTGAAGGCAAAAGCAATAAGTGCGATGACGCTAGAAGCGATGCTGAGGCCGTCTGCCATCGTCACGAAACCTGAAACCTGGCGCGCTAGGAGATGGTGTGATGGTAGTAAAGACCGGCGAGACTTTCTAGGTGGTTACTGCGGGGTTGGTGTTCAGCCGATTATATAACCTTCGGTGTCTAGTTAACTATGACGCGTATGTGGATCTTTTGCTGTCTATGCGCTCGACTACAAGATCCTTCACGCTGCGAAACATAAGACTTTAATATGTATATAGAAACGGTTTATTTAAAGACAAAATGTATTAAACGAGGCCAGATTAAAATACGAGTAGCGAGTCTCCCTCAGCTCTATTGGCAGAAAACTCTCTCATAATAGTTGCCGAGAGGTCAATGGGCCTTGCTTATCACCAAGGTCCGACAGCAAGCCCAGCACCCTATAGCCAGCGCTCCTTCCAGCGCCCGGCCCTAGGAGCGCATTATAGCAACTCGCTCCGAATGCGCCGCCTCATGGCAAGCAGAGCCGAGCACACTACCACCGCGCCCGGCACGCGCGTAGCTCCTAGCCCCATGTCTCCTCCTAGCAATCGGCCATGAATGCGCCCCATCGCAACCAGTCCCCAGCGCTCCGTTAACATTATATCTAAAAACACGCTTCCTAAACCAGGCCCCTGTAAGAGCCAGAGCCCAGCGCACTCCCGATACTAACACCAAAGCTTGGAGGGACAGCGGCACCTGCGCCCCCAAACAACTACTTAAGAACTTCCCTTATTTGTATAGCCGCAATCTGCCGCATATTAACTAAACAACCGGTTCTAACAGCCCATTTTGCACTCTCGGTGAGCAGAGTACAAATACGAATAGCCTTATCTGAACGCTCTAAGACACATGCCGCCACCAACTTTAGGCTTGCACTATCTTATCTTCTAACGTCCCGCCTTCTAAGAGTCAGTGATAAATCTTTTGAGGACGGGTCATAGCATACACGACCGGCTCAGTAGCATCCGAATATATCATGGTGAAGAGTGGAGATGGCCCCGCTAGGTCGCTCCAGCTTCTGCTAGCTCGTTTGCGTTCTTTTAGCTCACGTCTCAAAGCGTCTAGATGTGAACGGTCTTCCTGAGCCTTTATGTAAATATCGATGGCAACGGTCGCGTCGCGATAATAAGGCTCACGTGGTGCCCGTCTATTTTCCCTCTCTGATCTTATATTGGATTCGAGCGTGGTAAATGTCTGTATTAACTGCACGTAAGCTAGTCGTCGCAGTAAGTACGTTCCTTCTTGTCCATAAATGATCCTATCTATAACTTTGAAAGCAGAAATGATCCGGGGGTCTGAGCTTTCGAGATCGCCTGGTATTGTGGTTTTGCTAAGCAATGAGATCCAGTCTGTCATTGTCTTTACGCAATTTTGGGCGAAGAGGTCCATTGGATCATGCCCGACCAACCTTTGGCCTAACATCGTCATATAAGCTAACTTGCGAAAATTGTGGCTTGCCTTGGGTAGTCGGCGACGGATCTGACTGTTTCGTTTTAGGATATAAAATTACTAACCTGCGAATGAGACTTTCCTTTTCTGTTTATCGTACCGCCCACGTGATACCCTATAGGGAGCATTTCGGCGTGTCTCTAAGCGCACTGAGTTCCAGATGCTAGTGGGAGGTTTCTCCTAAGCTCTAGACCCAAAACCTGGCTTCTTATGTAAAGCCGCTTTATAAGCGTTGCTGTCTGTGTGTGCTAAGTTAGAAGTAAAGTTGGCTTTGCTTGTCGTCTTAGACGCAGGGTACGCAACGATTTGCTCGCTATCGATATCCATGAGCTGGAACATATCGTTTATCTCGGTAATTGAGGTGCCCCTTTCAAACAAACGTGATATATTGATAGGGCGGTAGTTGCGATCCATGCATTATGAGCAGTGCCCGCCAGGACGCGCAGACGCGAGCCATATGTACTTCTGGCGGTTATATAATACTTCCTCGAGAATAAGATTATGCTAGAACGGGTTAATGTTTCTTATAGGCCGTCTCTTCGGCTCCTCTTTTGGCTTAGGGATAGAAACGCGAACTTAGGTGCTACTAAGGAGGGGCATATATGTTTCGCAGGGTCATAAAAGGGCAGGTATAAGAATAGTTTCTGTTTTTAGTTTGCCCTACCCTTAGCGCTTATTGGTTAGTTCGATAGCCTTCCGATTCCCACTTACTATTACCTAATCTTATTCGCTAGTACTTACTAGTAATCGCCGCTAACTATCCCTAGCGCTTACTAGGAAATTTAGAACCACGCATTTCTTTTAGTTATACTAACTAGTAATTATAATCTATTAATATTATATCTTATTAGTCTAGGGTTATTGTATTACTAGTAAACCCTTTCCTAAAATTATTTCTAGTAAGCTATTACCCCCGCTTACTAGTAAATAATAACGAGGCTTATAAAAGTTTACTATTAATTTTAGGCTCTGAACCTTAGCGCGGCGGTAGATTACTAGTACCTAGCTATCGCACTACTAGTTAACTCCCGGAGCCTGCCCCTACGCGAAATATAGTCGCCGTCTATAACCATTGTGATCATATCGGAGGCAAAAGACTTATTATCCCTAGTACTATAACGGTTTGTAAAGGTGCTTAATCTCCACTAATCCTATGCCTATTAATAAATAGCTCTATGCCTCGCTGGCCTATCCTTGCCCCCATAATTAATGCCTTAGCCGCGTCTTCCCCCGGATCTTATTCGACTAAAGATTAACTATGTATGATCACTATGATCTAGCTAACTACTATTTGCGATATAACGCCGCACTACCTAACTATAGCCGCCTAGCCCGCCTTATCTAGGTTATTAAATACCTTATTAACGAGCACGTAGTGTGCGCGGTATATACTTCTAGCCCGCGCTAGTTATAATAGTGCGAAGAAGAGCGCTAAGTCGATGCGCTTATGCTCGCTACTTAAGCGCTTACTATAGGTAAGCGAGGGGTAAATAGCAAGGGTAGGACTAAGAATAGACCTAGAGAAGGATATATTAATTATATTATTAGCGGACTTAGAGTCAAAGAGTAAATAAAGTATCCCTATTATTATATATATATAGCACGTATTATTATATAGTACTATAAGGATCTATATGAGGAGTCTATTAAGCTCTAATAATAACTTTATAAGGATATATTTGCGGAAGTTAACAATTACCTTTATTATAGAGCTAGGTAAGGAAGATAAAGAGGCGTAGTAAATATGCTTTGCTAAGGCAGAGGACTAAAAGATAAAAAGCTCGCAATTAGCTATAAGCTCTTATAGCTTAGTAGCTAGCGCGTCGTATTTTAAGCATAGAGAG